CCATCAAGCCATCTCATTGGCAACCTGGTGAACAGGATAGACAGGCCATGTGGAATTACGAAGAAGCTCGATACAGGATGCAAGAAGATACGTTCGTGCACCATTCATGCCAACCCTAAGTCAACGAGCTGAGAGCTCTGGCTGTCACATCTTTTTATATACTACTGGCTCTTGGTTTGATGAACGAACAATCCAGCGGCAACTCAACCCCATCATATAATCGGTGCAGATTAGAGAACCCAACAGCTGTATCGACAAACGTCAGGCGATGAGACCTCTCCCTTGCCATCCTTCGCAGTGTAACCGTGCCGCACTCGGCCAAGGACCTGGGGCTTAGGAAGAATGGCGTCTTTGCGAGCGTCGTCGTATTGATTGAGTCTGGGCTTGCCAGATGATTATGAGCTTGCTCCTATGAGAAGTCTTGGCCGATCGGAGATTTGGCTGGTCTTTGGCGCTGTCGTGACTCCTCCCTACCTACTTACTATATACCACTCTCGACAGAAGCAACCCACTTGCTGGACAGCGGCGAGGAAGATCTACCGACTGGACCAAAGTTCGGTCGTCATGAAATGGAGAAAACCTAGAAAGCCGATGTCGTGGCTCTGGGTGCACGTCTTCACATCTACAACTATATATCTTGGGTGTCTCTGCTGGTGCCTCGTTCGCTTCTCTCCAAGACTGAAAGGTCCGAGATGGCTGTGTAGATTACCACATACAAGGCACCTTTGACTTTCAACGCACCTAGCCCGAGGGCTCAGGATTCCATGCAACTTTGTGAGCCTCGGCATCTGACGTCCACTGCGGGTGATAGATGTCATCTCGGCGCTTGCCCTTGCCTTGACAGACAGCATGTGGGACCATCCTGGCTTGCCACACTTTGTTTCCAGTTCATTGCTTGATATATATACATTCTCTCAAGATCAGCCCTGGGACTTGTGACCAGCATCATAGTCATCCCCTTGGCTGGACAGTCATGAGCTATTGAGGAACACGCCATGCAGACACGGAAGAAGACCCTAAAGCAACTCTGTTGCTTCTTTTCCCTAGTTTTCCTTTTGCTCTTGAAGAAGACCCACACGAATTCTAGGAACTGCAGATCTATCAAAGCGGATCAAGACCACGAGGAACCACATGGTGTTATATATACCCCTTCTTTCGTCGCAACTTCGGAACCCCAGACGCGGAAGTCAAATTCGGGCCCTCCCCGCCCTTCATATATATAAAAGGATGCCGTGGAAGATAGCGACCACGATCGACATGAACAGAATCTGGACGATCGATTGGTCTGCCATATCCAACAGATTCAAGCATAGTCCTTCCTCAAAGCACTTGCGGTAATTGGGGATAACGTGGCTTCGCGTTCCTCACAATGCTTTATGCATGGAGACCTGATCAATAAGTCCATGCTCTAGTTGGCCTTTCTGATGTGCAGCCCAGAGAAAGTCCTCTGCTTCTCGGTGACGGACAGTCCTGGCAAGGGATAGGATCCGACTGGCTCAAATGCCTTTTCCCGAAGACAACTGGGACAACGAAGGACGAATCTGGAGCACCGAGGCTCATGAAGAACTTTTTCGGCTTCTGAAATTCGTCTATGAGGGGCATGAGGCCAACCGCCTTCAGTAGAGAGACGCCACGGACGTTAAGAATGCCTTAGGTTGCATGACATCTCTTCAGACTCTGGTGCTCAGCAACGGGACAGCGGACGATACGCCACTTTCGGGTGCTCAAAGCGAGAAGACAAATATCACGGAGCTGAAGCGTCTGGAAGGGGATACAAGTCACCGGCAATCGCCATTATTGACAGTTCTGGCCAGGCCTTTGGTTTCAGGTCTCGCTCATTGCGACCGGGACATCTCGAGGTCGTTGAGCCTCGACTATATACAGCCATCTCTGCCTGCTTCGCACACAACTCCCACACGAGACATCATCGGGACCATGAAGTGTCAACTCATCCTTGAATATAGTACAAGGTCCCGGTCCGGTTGTATATACTATTGGGGTATCTGGTAGAGGCGGGTGCAAACATCGACCGTTCAGATTGTCCACTCAACTGCTCCGTCGAGATGATCAAGGAAATAACCATGGAGCGTTCGATCGAACCCACTCAACAAGAACTGGTTTCCTGGTGCGTCCGCCTATCTCAGTGTTCTGTCCTCCTTTTCTCAGGGGTTACGACCAACAAATGCAGTGCCTCGATTCCCTACCATCGAGTACCTCTGGCCGACGATGCTGCGCTTTGAGCGGATGTTGGCGCCGGGTCCATTTTTGAAACCTGTTCATCATCTTTTGGGTGCTGTGTTGCAACGTTTGGAGCACAAACAGACGAAGGGATGAACAGCCTCTGTTATATATACAAGACGGAACAAAAACCGTGAACATGACGGATGATGACCTTATGGTCAGGTTGGGGATCATACTCAGGATATCAACAACTTCGTCAATGGCGCATCGGGGTTTGATGTGATTTATCATCCACCTTCGGGTTGTCCTAACATTGCTTGGCAGCAAGCGAACCCCTCAGAGGAGTCCATATATATCTCCGGACATGAGATCACTTCGCGCATTCTGTCTCAGGAGCGAGTGGATGATCAATTCGACACCGCTGCCGCCGCCGCTCAAAAGCTTCATTCCCTAAAAAGAGTCGGGGAAAATGGCTTCATCGCATACAAATCCGCAAACAAATCTCGGAGTATATATCAGCTGAACACAGGCTGTAGCGATCTCCCCACTTGCATCGCGGCCTGACTAGGAGCGTGATTCTAGGAGATATCTGAGATATATACTAAACTCACCTGACTCATCGAATAACATGAGATCAAAGACCTCGTGTGGATTCTGGAGGGCGAGTGTTGCCTCGCCGAATGCCTGCCTGTCTGGGACGCTCACTTCCAACCCCATTCGGCGTTGGGCTTGGCCCTGGATGAAGCGATACAGCCAAAAACGCAAGCTAATTTGGACAAGATTCAGAAATCCATTGGTGGCACATCCCTGCCACTCTTTCTACTCTCATAGAGATTCAGGGAGCTGGTGACAAGATGCTGCCGAGTTTCAGTAGTGCTTCTTGAGGTGGGATCTATCCACGAGACCATCCATGGCGCCTGGTAGATGAGGTTGAGTTTCTGATGTCCCTTTCAGTGCGAAGGTTTTGATTAGATTGAATCACGCCATCTTTTCCATTGTTTCCTATTTGTTAAGTTAGCAAAACAGACGCTGCCCGGGTCTCCGTTCGCGGTCAGACTTGAACTTAGCCACTCCCCCTAAACGAACGAGAAACTAAAGCCATCTCGATCTCATCAGACTTGCGTCTAAAATGCATAAAAATCTCTTCAAAATTTATCCTTAATTCTATACGTATTTAGACTATCCCGTGGTAACCCATTGCGATGCGTCACAAGGGGCTGTGGCATACATATAGGGCTTTATCATCCACCCGGATCGTCGGCGCTGCTCGACTAGTCGAGATGCGAAAGCTTGAAAGGAGGAAAACAGTGATAAGTAAAATTTTATATATTTCCACACCCTGACAAAACTCACAAAGTCCTTTGTTTTTTCGCCTTTGAGGTTGAACACTTCACTTTTGTGTTCAATCTGATCGAGTCTGACAACACCGACACCGAGACGATGACGATAGTACGAGCTGGGACGATTCTTGTAGCGATGAATTGTACTTGATCGACGTCTATGATACCAACAGTCGGTCTGGCCTAATATGAGAACAAGATGGCGGGCGTGGGCAGATGCTCAAGCGTGTCATGCATGAGGCGATACATCAAGGAAGTCATGCGAAAGGATCATTCTGGGTGGTCTCTGGACAAGCCCTTGATAGGGATCCAAAGACGTTTCGAATGATACAAGATGGAAGAAGGGTCCCTGTCACAGGTTGGACAGCTATCTATACCGTCTTCATTTGCAAGACTCTGAAGCTGGAGACATGACTCCCTCTGCGGGAAAGACTCCACGGAGCAGATCACCGAGTCTACCGACGTCCATATCCAGTGAAAAAACAGTAATCAACAAGAGTCCCTGCGGAGACTGCATCTCTGCCACGAGTTGGGCAATTATATATACCTTGGCAAGAGAGCTGGTTGAGCTCCTGGTTAGAAACAGACCGGGATTACACCATCCATATCAAGGTTGTAGTGTGGATGGTTCATCCTCGTGGTTCTCTTCACTGAACCTCTTAGCTACCAGGGGACGGAAAGGGAATCGATGTCAACGCGAGGCTGCTCCCCTTCTGCCGATTGCCATCAGAATCTTCCCCATTCATTCTATATAGAATAAATACCGATCTTTGAGACGGAAAACGAAACGTTGCCGCGGATGGGCAGCAAACCCAAATTTCCGGGTCGGGCTGAATCCCAATGGCGAACGTTGACTGAGGCTATATATATCGCGATTCCATGAAAGCAGCGGCCAAGGATAGGATTTACTGGTGTATAGACACACCAGAGAGGGAAACTAGGATAATTATGGTGGTGGATCAACATGTCCAACGACCACAGTGAAACATCACAACACCAAAACACACATCACGACTCATAATCAATATTTAGATAACAATTTTATTCACTCCCAAGATAACCTGCTCCTTCCGCTGAAGCTCCTATAAAACATGGCTTTTGTCCTTTATCGACCCATCAACACGAATAACGTGATGACATCCATTCATGCCTCTCCATCTGTGAAAAAGCCATCAACGTTGACAAGGCATTGACAACCCCGGAAATAATAACAAAAGGTATATAAATCCATTTCCCCCACGTCCATGGATCCCAAAACATTAACAAAAACGCCGACCCGCCCTTCCATGCATGCAGTCACTTCGTAACCATGTGTGTATGCGTAAAGTAAAACTATGCGACACCATCAACGCCAGAGGCTGTTTGTTTCGTCAGTCGTCCATGGCATGCGGCGGCCCAACTGTCGTGGATCCATCCATCCATGCAATCCTTCCTGTCTGCCTTTAATACCACTCACGGTTGGTAACCTGGCAGCACTCCCTAAGTTTCATCCTCGATCATAGCTCGGACCTCGGGCTCGTTGAGCAGGATACGCTTGCCAAGTTCCTCCGGGGGCTTGCCATCTCGAACAGCTCCAAAGTCGAGAATCTATATCATGTTAGTTACTATTCTTCAACACTATCGTGGACTTCAACATACCTCGACATACGTCAGCTGGTCCCGCTGGACAGCAGCCACACATCGTCTCTCGTCAAACTTGACCTGCCAGACGCCGCTGAGATCGCTCAGAAGGTCCTGGACACACTCGCCAGTTCGGACGTCCCACATCTTGACCGTCTTCTCGCTGCCGCTAATAACTTTGCGGCCATCGTGCTGGAAACAGGTGATAGCCCCAGTATGTGCCATAAGAGTATTACGGCATCTGCCATTCTCGGGATCCCAGATACGGAGGGTCGAGTCAGCTGCTGCCGACACCAGTCGCTCATCTCGGAGATCAAGTAGACCGACGAGCAAGCTATGCCCCTCAAGTGTGTACAGGCAAGCACCTGTAGCAAGATCCCAGATTTTGACCAGAGAGTCCATCGAGCCCGAGATGCATCGGTTGCGTTCATGGTCGAGGACAACCGAGTACACCTTCTGCGAATGTCCGTGGAGTACGTGAAGAGCCTCGCCAGTGCTGATGCGCCAGACGCGGACGGTGCTATCGTAAGATCCACTGACGAGAGTGTCGCCATGAGCAGAGATGGCTCGGACCGAGTGGGTGTGGCCAGCGAGGACGCGAATGAAGTAAGGGCAGTCCGACTCGTGAGCTGGGGGCCCTGTTTGGATGTATCGACGAGACCCGACCTCTGGAAGACGCCAGACTCTAAGTTGACTGTCTCGGGAACCGGTGATGATCAGAGGCTTCTCGGGTTGCATAATGGGGCTGCCGCTGGAATCTCTGCCCGTCTCAGTAGGCATCAGGATCTGCAGGCAACGCACAGTGCTAGTGTGCCCATAGAAGACCTGCTGACAGAGCCCCCGTTCGATATCCCACACGCGAACAGATCGATCGGTACTACCAGAAACGAGCATGTTGCCTTCGTACTGCAAGGCCCAGACGCCACCCTCGTGGCCCTCCAGCTTCTTGCGGAGCTTGCCAGTCTTGGTGTCGTAGATGTGAATGAGGGTATCGTCGCTGCCGGTAATGATCTTGTCCTCGTCGAATTGGAGGCAAGTGATGACGTGACGGGGGTGAGCAGCGAACGCCACATGCCCGGGCTTCACCTCGCCGCTGGTCCAACTCTTACGGATCATGTGGTGACGGCGGTACAAAGATTTGAAGAGGTGCAGCTCGCGGAGACTGGGAAGCCCAAGTTGGGGGTCAGGCACGGCGGCGGCTGCGGCATTAGCAGCAGACAGAGGGCCCTCCGACTTGTGCTGTTTGGCCTCAGGCTGGGCCTTGTCGTCACGGGTCACTGCCTCCTGAGCGCTGGCGCGTCGCTTGGATCTCTCGGCAGCCGAATAAGTGTTGAGAGCTCTCTTCCGCTTGGAAGCCCGCGACTTGGAAGCTGTTTCCTGTCGGAGGTTTCGAGTGAGCTCGTGCTCAGTCGAAGTCAGTCGGTTTCGCATGCTCAGGTCCTTCTCATAGCCGGAAGCACCAACGGGATCCTGCCAGCCCCAGCCCTGAAGGATGGCCTTCTGAAGCTCGCCGGGAGGCAGAGTGTAGCCATCACGGTCAAACAGCTCCTTCCAGCCAGTCTCGTTTCGATCGACAATGTTACGCCAGTGCTTGGAAACCTGAGCGGCTCGGCAGAGATCGCGGTGGTCGAGGTGGGACAAGACGGTGTAGCCAAGTTCGAGTGGCAGCTGTCGAAGAAAGTCGCACTTGAGAGCAGGGTTGACAGCGTTGGCAACAACGCGGAGGGTAGGTCGGGGGCAGCGGCGAAGGAACTGGTACATCATGAATGTCTTCATCTCCGTCTTCATCGAATCGAAAGCCTCCAGCAGGGTTTGCGTGTCGACCACAAGAGGCTGACCAGACGAATCGGTTCGGGTAAGAGCATAGTTGTCATGAGATTGGCCAGCGCGGACCAGGGCTGTCGAAGTACCGTCCTCGGTCAACTGTGATTCATCGACCCAGGTGGACGGGTCTGTGTGGGAGGTCTGGAAGCTGGACTGGGGGTCTTCCTCGTCCTGGTCGGCGGTGTGTAGCTGAGCGGCTGCAAGTGTCGGAGACAATCTAGGACTAGGGAGACTGGCATCCTGAGCGGTAACAACGTCGATGCTCGGCCGGGGGTTGAATGGTCTTAGCGGCTGGTGGAGAGATCCATCAACGTCAGCGAAAGGCTCAGCGTCGGCATCAGTAATTGGTGGGGTGGCCACATTGCTGCTGAAAACTGTGTGGGAGTCGCTCTCTACGGGGCTGGTGGCCTCGTAGTGAGGACTTTGTGCGGACGAGGATGCCTCGGGTGAGTGATGTCGTTCGAGATGAAGCGATCGTCTTCGAGCTGACCGATCAGCTGCTCCAACGACTTCTGATGTATCGGGAGTAGCCAAGAAGCCTGAAGAGCCCCGAGGTAATCTTTCTGCGGGATCACGGCGGCTGGAGCTGTGGGCAATAGAGCGTCGGAGCTTATCCGACACGGCGTTGAGCTGGGTGGATCGAGCAGGTCGTCGAGAAGGGTTCGAAGTCGGGGCAGAAGAATCGGGAGATTCGATAGGACTTGTCCGAGATGCACGAGCACGGCGAGGGTAGCCTTCTGATGGGGACTGGGATCGATGCTTGGGTATCCGGGTGAGGGGAAGGTTCTCTTGAGGGGACTCAGCCTTGAGGCTTGGAGTATATCTTTCGTTGGTATACCGGGTCATCTTCAACGTGTTAGTGGCGCACTTTGTGGTGAGGTTATTCCATTTTTCAGGCAAGCCACCGTCCAAATAAAGTAGGACATCGCAAAACGTACCTGCTGGCCTATAGACCGCTCCTCTTCGTCGTCGTCTTCGACCTCATTCGTTCCAGGCATGTTGTACGAGAACTGGATCAACTCGGGAGGTGTAGGCTTCATTGCGAGCGGATATTCCTTGGTATCGAGATTCTCGAGAGGGACGGGATCGCGAACAAATACGTGTGGGAACTTTCGGGTGAGGCGAGTCGTGGTCGTAACGGTCTTTGTCTCGACACACTCGCTCACTTCGAGCTGGAAGCGACGAGAGCGGTTCTGGGAGCCTTCCGAGATGTTCACCGAGACTGTTTGCGTAGGTTTAGGATGCCGAGGCTCGAGGGCCTGGCTTGATGGTGAGGGTGTCATGGTTCGTGTTTGTGCAGATGTTTGTCGTGACTGGCACGATGGGGTTGTCGAGTACGCGGTTCGGCAACGTGCCTAGATGGACAAAAAGGGTAAGTGAATGCACTTTCGTCGAAATCGACAAACGTAGACGATGAAGAAGACCCAATAAGATCCAAAATGTTCGCGGTGCAGCGTGGAAGTGCGTACTTGTATGTGTCAGGTTGCCAGTGGTAGGATGGCAATGAATGGCCGACCAACGGAGCGTCTCACACGGGCCGACGATCGAATATGTACCGTGAAATGCGACCGATATCGAACACGTCGACTATGAACGGAATATGGGATCGAGGAGACCCCAAAATGCGCGAGGGGCGAAGAAGCGTCTTTAGAAACCGGGGGGCAAGCCAGATATCGACCACGATGTCGACGCTGGAAGGCTCCGGAGATGTAAGCAGGCCTCGGGGCCCGGGGGGCGAAGAAGGGGACCACACGATCAAGATGTGGAACCGGGGATATCGAAGTCGATGGAGAAGATCGTAGGAAGGACGGTCGAGGGAAGGGTTGGAGACGGGCTCGTCACACGCGTGCGTTGGGTTGCGTGCGCGAAAGGCTAAGGCTGGGGGAGGAGAGAGAAGGGCAAGGGCGAGCAGAACAAGGGAGCGGTTCGGCGATGCAGGAGAAGAAGGGGAAATGAAGAAAAAAGGAGAGAAGAAAGCAACAAGAGAAACCACGAAAGACCAACCCAATTTCTGTCTGTCCTGTCCTGTCCGAGTAGGTTCGTGAGTTGCTGACAGAACGAGGCTTTGGTGAGAGAGAAGATCTGGTGGTGCAGGCTGATGTGACGGAGGAGTTGGTCTCTCTCTGGGTCTCTCTCTGGTCGATGTGGGTTTCCACTTGCTTGGTGGAACTGGCACTGGGAGGCGTGGGGCTAGACCGCTGTAGGTCTAGCGCAGGGAGGGTACAACAAGCACCGCATTCCCCTCTGAGAGGCGGTTCTTTCACAGGGTCTAGCCTGACGCTACGGGGACGCCATTGGTTGGGAGTGCAGCTGCATTCAGGGAAGGGGGCCGAGAGTGAGAGTCCACTGTACTGGCACTGGTAGTGGCCATGCCGCTCCGCACGTCTTCCAAGGGGTTTTCCTGGGAAGAAGAGGTACCGGTACATTTCAAGGAAGTGCCCGCCAACTTTTTCTGCTGCCGACTCGCACGCTACAGGGCCTTTGTACTCAATGACAATGGCCTGTCGTTTTTTCTACCAATACGCGGTCCAGTCTCTGATGCAGGAGAAGGAAGACGCGACAGGGTTCGGCCAACAAAACATCAAGCCTGTATTTTTTGCGTCGTAAGAAGCCCGACCTGGGGCTCGGCTAAGGCTATGATACGGCTACGGCCGAGACTCGATTCCTTGGAAGCAAGCAAGCCTGGATGGAGCCTGGGGGTGATTGATTTTGGGGTTAGTCAGCTTCAAACCCTCGATTCTAGACGGGGATATTTTGTGGCTTCAAGTGGCTGAGTCTTTGTCGGTCGGAAACCTTTTCTTGGAATTTGGAATTCTTCTGTAGAACAATTTGAATGGATCTTTGTTCTTCCAAAGAGGGGAAATTATCGGGTTTTTTTCTTCATATGCATTCAATTATCCCCTTTGAGATGGAAATCTCCGTTTAGAGAGTGCCCTGTGCCCTCTTCGGCAGCGCCGCTTTTCTTTGATTGTGGCTTGTCCCGATTTAGGCCACGATGAGTCTCAACATCTTTCTTCCTTTTCCTCTTGCAAAATAAGTAAATTCGAGGCTTCATTACACTGCCCCTTCTCGCGAACCCCTCCGAGTTTCACCAGTCCCCCGTATCCGGGTCGGCGGCGGGGCGCAGTGCCGTTCTGAATCCGGGGAGGGGGGTTTATATTAAGACACAGGAGGCTTGTCTGTGGGGATTGGAGATGGGAACAGGGAGCCTCAATCGATGCGCTCAGCAAGACTGTCAGTATTAAAATTGGTTTGCTGTCATTTATCAACGAGGGAGAGAATGTCAACAGATCGACATTGCACGAACCTGAAACCTCCTCCTGGCCTGTCAACCCTCGCTTTTGTCCCATGATGGAGACCCGGGCCTGGTAGGGCTCTTTCCAGGGCTCTGGTCCGACCCTCCCTGGTTCCCTGGTTCGTCTCGTTCCTCGGCCAATAACCCATTCTGTCTCACCGAGAACCGATTATCTCAAGGGAATCTCGCTCCCCTTGGAAAAGCTCCCGTGACCTCTCCCGCTGGTTATTTTCCGTCGCCAGAATGCCTCGGGAATAGCCCGGTCCGGATCGGCGCCCGTCTTCGGCCGCAACCGATTTGGCCGCTTCTCCGCCACATGGCCTGCCGTCTGTTGGGAATTTCTTTTTTCGCCTCCTCACGTGCCTCATCATGGGTTAGTCAGCATAGTCATCATGCCTAGAACAGACATGCCGTCGGCGGAACCGAGTTGCCGCAGCGGACCATCCATTCTTTTGGCGAGTGCCGTTGCGCGTGGCCCGATGAAGTGAAGCTCTTTGATGGGAGATGGTCAGGCAATTTGATCCTTTGGAATATGATCAGGACGTGCTTATGCCGTGATCATCAGCTGGAATAATTTGAAGGGTGCCATTAAAGAGTGACCTACCATCCAGGCGTGTCCACGCCGTGTACCCCACATCTTTCATCCCGACTTGATGTTATGCGCTATGGCGACACCCTCAGACGAGATGCACTGATACTCAAGCAAGAATGACGATTTATATCATTGACATATACCATGGCCACTATGCCAGTAAAACATCGCTTTTGCCAAACACATTCTGAACCCAACCATCTACACCCATCCCATCATGCCAATGCCAAATGGTATCCTATATCCCAAACAAATGCACTCCCAAATCCAATACCCGTCCAAGATGCAACCACCCCTCATGAGATATAAACCGGCATTCGACTACCCAACAGCTCTCCCTTGCTCACCTGCACGTCCAGCTTGTTAAAGTCGTGCAGCATCAACCAGCAAATCATCCGGAACATGAGCGTGCACCACACGTCGTCATGTGACACCTCCTGGATGCTCAACGGGAGGAGGCTCTGCTTCTCATGGTCCTCGGTCAACGCCACAGAGTCACCCGCAGCACTGCGGGGCCTCTCTGCCAGGGACGACCGTCCGTTCGGGATGGATGTTGTCAGCGGCGACGGTACCTCGTTGACCGTTTGTGGTGGCGCCGGCCGCGTCGGAGAGGGCCCTCGCTCAGTGCCGCGGATGCTGCTCGCCAGGGTTTGTCCGGTGCCTTGTCTCCGGAAGCCGTATCCTGGAGGAGCTCCCGCGGGAGGCGCGACGAGACTCGCCCTTCGGTGGTCCGTTGATCGTGTTGCCCGGCCGATGACGCTGGGACGGATGACGTAAAAGTAGACTTCCATGAAAATGTGCTGTCGCTCGTCCGGGCTGGCTTCGTGCATGTCCTCAAACCCGTTGGGTGTGACTCTGGGCTGTCCGTCCCGTCGCGAGCCTTGTATCAAGGGGCTCCAATCGGCATGGAGAGAAGAGTTATCTGAGCGGTCATCGCCGTTGAGAAGGCGGAGTACCTCTTGGATGTGAGACCGCAAAACATCTTGAACAATTTCTCGACGTGCCGTCTGCACCTCCGTCTCGTGGCCGGCCTTCCCTAATTGAAGCTCTGGCGGCGGTGTCATGGCGTCAGTCTCCTTGGCTGTCAGAACACGGTCGCAGTCGTCGATAGCTTCGTGAAGTGCCTTGAGCAGGCACATCTTCTTCCTGAGGTCCTGGTCCTTGTGGAGTTCCAGAATGTTCTCGGTGTGTCTCCTGATTCTCTCAATAAGATTCATATTCCGGTGTACTACAGGCAATCCTTCAGGAACCAGGTCCCGATACGCCTCCATCACCTTGATAAGTGATACTGAACGCTTGTCCCAGCGATCCGGTGTCGGGTTCGGGATATGAGTGTACATGGTGTCCTTGATGTGAAACGTGCGGCTCAACATGCCCAGAATCTCAAACGACACTGAACTCAGTTAGAAGGGGTCATATGTAATGGGCACCATGACTTACCAGGGAACAAATGTGAAGTATGCTTTTCAGGGTCCTTGAACGCCCGCACAGCATTATTGTTGCATCCGATACGAACCAGAGTCTGAGAAATCTCGGCCTGAGTTGCCAGCTGAAGGAAAGCCAAGTTCTCAGGGTCGTCCTCTGAAAACCGTAGACGTCGCTTATCCAGTGTCACACTGTAGATGGTCGACACATAACCAAAGCAGAGCTCCTTGACCTCGTCAACTGGAATCACTCGGTTGGCTTCGAAGCGACTCCTGCCATAGATGCTAAAGTTGAACATCAAGCCAAGATCGGCCACCTTTTCTCCCAGGACCATAAAGCCATTGCCCTCAGCACGGTAACGGTCTCGCTTCCGGTCAAACTCCTTCCAGTAAATGCCCAGGGCAGCGACCATCTCGATCAGATGGCACATGGTAGTTGTAGCGTATGGGCGAGCAATGGTAGAGGGCATTGTATCCCAGCTCTTGCGTTTACGCTGAAGAGCTACTGTTAATGTATGGGCCTCATTCAAGGTGGGAGGATTCTCGGCGAGGTTGTTCAGCGGCGTCTGGTCAGTCGGAGGTCCGATCTGCTTCTTCATCTCTTCGTACTGGCTCTTCTGCCAGTTTTCTGACTCGTGTTCCATGCGCTGCACGGCGCTGAGGAGCAACGTCCAGGAGGCACGCTCATTGTCGGCGGTATGAACGCGTTCCCTGGGTGTCTTTTGTGCATATTCGTTACGCTCGTTGATATCCAGCTCCGACCAAGTGTTTTCAAGACTCTGTTCAGTTCCATCGAGGAAATAAATTTCGGCACCAGGGATTGGGCCATGCTTGTTATCTGGAGGGGAGACAAAGATGACTGGTGCCTCGAATTCGACCTCGAAGCGTAGTTCGTCCCAGGAGAAGCGACGGGACTTGCTCAGGGCCCATTTCCCCATGACCTTTTCATTGCATTGGGAGTATCCGGCAGCA